TAAAGTTTGTGGACAATACCAAGCTGGGAGGGGTTACAAGTGCTTTGGAGAACAGGATTAGAATTCAAAATGATCTTGACAAACTGGAGACATGGTCTGAAATAAATAGGATGAAATTCAATAAGGACAAAATGTAAAGTACTACACTTAGGAAGGAATAATCAATTGCACAAATAGAAAATGGGAAATGACTGCCAATGAAGGAGTACCGCAGAAAAGGATGGGGGTGTTATAGTAGATCGCAAACTAAATACAAGTCAACAATGTAATATTGTTGCAAATAAAGCAAACATCATTCTGGGATGTATTAGCAGGAGTGTTGTGAGCAAGACATGAGAAGCACTACTCAGCACTGATAAGGCCTCAACTGTAGTAGTGTGTCTAGTTCTGGACATCACACTTCAAGAATGATGTGAACAAACTGGAGAAAGTCCAGAGGAGAGCAACAAAAATTATTAAAGGTCTAGAAAACACAACCTACAAGGAAAGATTGAAAAAAATTGGTCTGTTTATTCCAGAGAAGAGAAGACTGAGTGGGGACATGATAACAGTCTTCAAGTTCCTGTAAGGTTGTTATAAAGAGGGGCATGATAAATTGTTTTCCTAAACTACTGAGGTCAGGACAAGAAGTAAAGGGCTTAAATTGCAGCAAGGGAGATTTAGGTTAGACATTAGGAAAAACTTCCTAACTGTAAGAGTAGTTAAGCACTGGAAAATTGCCTAGGAGGTTGTGGAATCTCTGTCACTATTAGTTTTTAAGAATAAGTTAGACAAAACACCTGTCAGACTTAGTTCTGCCTCAGTGCAGGGACTGGACTAGACAACCTACTGAGGTTCCTTCTAGTCCTACATTTCTATGATTCTATAATTAACCATTGTGACAACTTATAAAAGGGTCATGGTGGATTCCCCATCACTGACAATTTCTAAATCAAGCCTGTATGTTTTTCTAAAAGATATGCTCTGGGAATAATTTGGGGGAAGTTCTACGGACTATGTGATAAAGTAGGTCAGACTAGATGATCACAATGGTCCCTTCTGGCCTTGGAATCCATGAATCTATGCATCTTATCCCACATTACACTGGGAGTAGTAGAAAGACCATACCTATTTCACATGGGAGTTACGAGGACTAGTTAATGTTTGTACAAATCTGAACATGTGAAGTAGTCCAAGTATTTAGTTTTTATACTTTAAAATGAGTATTATTGCACAGAAAAAGTGAATTAGTTTAATTTGCTGCAGTCTAGCATTCACAATGGTAATCTTGATAGCGAAACAAGCTATCCCCACCATTTCCTTGAGATCCTTGGATGAACCATTATGCGAAATTTCTGCACTGTTACAACTGTTACATTTCAAGAGCACCTCAATTCATGAGACAATGTACTAGAAACTTTCTGAATCCTAAACTGCTAAATAGCACTAAAATAAATATTAAATACCTTTGTGATGTAGAATTTTTTCAGCCCATCCAAAAATGATGTAAAAATTGAAGCAACCTGTGGTTTAAGAGCATGCCCTTTGGGGGGAAAAAAAAGAGGAAAGAGTAAGTTAACAAGGCAGTAATAGCTGCAAGATTTTCAGAAATCTGATCTTACTTCATCATGTAACGAAGAACTCTGATAAGGGATTTATAGGTAAAGCTCTGACAAAGGACTCAGAACATTTTATTTTTTGTAACTTAAAATTTAATAATGAAGAAATCTCCTTTGAGATTTTAGAGAAAATGTTTTTCATTAATTGTTATTCAAAAGGAATACGTGGGGAATAGTGTGTAGAAATGTATCCATTACCATATCTTCATTCAGACATGTAATTCTGATTAATCTTAGTTCAGGTCATCACAAATATACGGCACATAGAAAGTTTAAACCACACTCCATTTTTTTAATGGAATAGAAATTAATGGTTGCTGGTTTTATTTATTTTTTTAAGTTATGCCAAACCATTGAAACAAATATCCAAAAATGAAGTAACGTGTATAGAATTTTCCCCCTTCCTGGTTATATCGCTTGTGCAGATTTCTCTACATAAAACTAGTAATTGCTTCCTTAATCACATACGCAGAATTAAAGGTACCAGAATACACAAATGGCATCTTGGAGTCTGTTAAATTAACATCTATGCCTCAGGACTGGGTTGAATTGAGATGAAAGCCTTTTACTGTGTTCTCCACTGTTTTCAGTTACTAGCAATGTCTGAACTCCCATAACTGCTTTATTTTAATAGCCTTACATCTGGCTTACATGCTGTGAGCCCAATTCATAAAAAAGTTATGCACTGTTTACATGGTATTTCCAAATACTTCCTTGTAAAATACTTCAAAGTATTTTCTCCTGAATAAAAGCATGAACTTCAGTAATTCATTAGCCTTCTTTCCTCTTCACTAAAAAGAGCAACTCTCCTTTGCATACTAAGATAAGAACAAGTTGCAAAAAGTACACCTCTATATACATTTGATGAATGACAAATGTGCATAGAAAATTGACATACACAAAAAGACTGCATCAGTTAAGGCAATAAAGGACAATAATTTACTCAACCACAACCTTTAAAAGAAACGGGAAGATATTTTGCGTGCTTAAGAAATAGGTTCAGGGTTTATGTTTTTCCGGCAGCCATTAACTATCTCACAAACACTTAAAACAGTGGAGAGAGCTGTTTAAAGTACTTGTGAAGTTAATTAGAATAAGTGAAACAACCCTAAACTCAGGTCTAAGCCACTAAGTGGAGGACCAGTTTTCAAATATTTTCAACTATGTTAGTAAATTTTAAATCTAAACTTGCAATTTCAAATTTTAAAAATGCATCTGTTCTTTGCTCTAGGTACACATTCAGTATAATAGAATACAGAAGATCTAAGTCCTTAAGAACTATGCATCCCCCCGCCCCCCACTCATTCCTGTTATTGGGACTAGTCATTACTACTCCCCAACTTCATTTACCCCTCAAAGCACTTCCTCAAAAACCTGGAGGGGACAGGCAAACCCTGCTACATACCCTAAAGTTCCACACCCCCTGACTTTGTTGGACCAAAGGGTAAATGACCTACAGGACTAAAGTCCCTCACTGAAAGCATGCTGCCATCAGCATCCTCCTATTTAAATCAGGAGATGGATAGCCTGAGACCTCTCCTGAAGGCAACTGTCATGCTATCACTTCAGTGAGCAATCTCAGGTAGTCAGCCTCTAAACCATAAGTCTTCATAGGTCAATCACATTGCATTGATTCACATCCACAAACAAATAGTACCAAGCGTAATGTGCTCCCTGAAAGATATCCCAGTAAGCAAGGGGGCTGGTTTATTCTGTAACCGTTTAATTTTCTGTATTGCGTTCAGGTATAGCCTCAGTCAGAATACATTACAGAAATTCCATTTTGAAAAGGTAAAAATATGGGTTAGCTACAAAAAGGACAGTAACTGAAGACTATTTAACCCCCAAGTCTAGCACACAAGTCACAATGCATTCACTCATTTTCAGTTCCTCAATACACAATGTATACACAATTTCACAAGCAATGCATATGCTTTTACTTTAACTGGAAATAGCCTTCTAGAGTAGATTTGCATACCAATACCCACAGATTTATATATGATTAAAACTGACTGTAGTTATGTACACATGTCCATATACACTGAATTACAACTACATCTCTACCTCAATATAATGCTGTCCTCGGGAGCCAAAAAATCTTACAGCGTTATAGGTGAAACCACATTATATCGAACTTGCTTTGATCCACCAGAGTGCGTAGCCCCCTGCCCCCGAGCACTGCTTTACCGCGTTGTATCCGAATTCATGTTATATCAGGTCGTGTTATATCGGGGTAGAGGTGTGTATTCCTTAGAGCATAACTTACTAGGAAAGTGCTGTTGACAGCTCAGAGAGCCAAGCAACAGTAATGATGATCTTTTCCTTAATCTTAAACTAATGCTGCCTATCATTTCATTACACCCCAAATTTAAACTTACATTAATAGTATGGGGGTATTTTTTGCAGCAGAACCAATCCTATACTGACACTTTAATGTTTCTTGTCTGTGGAGTATAAGTTACATATGCTACATAAGCTAACTTCTGGGCACCACATTTCAGGAAAGATGTAGACAAACTGGAGAGAGTCCAGAGAAGAGCAACAAAAATGATTAAAGGTCTAGAAAACATGACCTATGAGGGAAGATTGAAAAAAATTGGGTTTGTTTAGTCTGGAAAAAAGACAAGACAGAGGGGACATGAGAACAGTTTTCAAGTACATAAAAGGTTGTTACAAGGAGGAGGGAGAATTGTTGTTCTTAACCTCTGAGGATAGAACAAGAAGCAATGGTCTTAAATTGCAGCAATGGAGGTTTAGGCTGGCCATTAGGAAAAACTGTCAGGGTGGTTAAGCGCTGGAATAAGTTGCCTAGGAAGGTTGTGGAATCTCCATCATCAGAGATTTTTCAGAGCAGGTTAGACAAACACCCGTCAGGGATGGTCTACTCTAGATTATACTTAGTCCTGCCATGAGTGCAGGGGACTGGACTAGATGACCTCTCGAGGTCCCTTCCAGTCTTATGATTCTATGATATATTCAAAAGGGGATTCCCAATCAGTTTTGAAGATTTTTAAAAAAATCAAAATGTGTTAAAATAAAGCCAAGTTTTACCTTAAGATTCACACACACAACTCCCATTACCCAATGCATACCACAGGGAAGAACTGGACCCCAAATCATTTGAATATATAATCCAAATAGCATGTTTTACATATCAGACACCCACAAAATACCATTGAGAAGTGTCCCTTTAATACTGAGGGCATGTCTACACTTACCGTGAATCGACGCTGAGGCGATCGATCCACCGTTGGGGTCGATTTAGCGGATCTAGTGAAGACCCGCTAAAGCAACGGCAGATCGTTCTCCTGTCAACTCCGGTACTCCACCGGAACGAGACGCATACGATAAATCAACGGGAGAAACTCGTAGACACCCCAAAAAGTTGACCTAAGCTACGTCGACTCCAGCTACGTGAATAACGTAGCTGGAGTTGCATAACTTAGGTCAACTTTACCCTGTAGTGTAGACCTGCCCTGAGTGCATTACACAATCAGGATTGAGATACAGTGGCAGAAGTTCATGGAGGATGCTGCTTCTCTGCGCTATATCTATCTCTAGACAATATTATTAATCTCACTTTCATACACATTGCCCCTTTACTTCCAAAGAGTATTGTCACCATAAAATAAAAGCACATGTTGACATACTGCATAGGATATGCACCTTGTTCACTTCATTAGTCAATAAGATTTATGGACTGTCAGTGTTACAAGCACTGTACTCCAAAGTTGTCCACTAGCTACAGTAGCAATATGAAATTTTGAAGGAATTATTTTCAAAACACACGCTAATGCATTTCTATAAGGACTCCCAAAAGAAGTCATCAACAAGATTTGAACCTAGGACTTTTAGCACCAAAGCATAGACTTCTACTGCTTAAGACAAAGAATGAACTCCATTATTTGAAAGCAATAGTAGGCTACTCTTCCTACTCCTAACAGTCACATTTCCAAAAAGGCAAAAAGATTCAAACTAGAAATAAGACACAGACAAGCAGTCTGGATTTTAAGCCTGGATATCTCACTTAAGACCAGGCACTCTAGAAATAGAATATAAATATTATTTTTTTGGACACAATATTTGTGAACTTACCAAACTGAAATTGTGCATTGTCCACAAGGCGAATTGATGCAGGAGCACACCTCTAAAAAAAGAAAAAATATCAATTTGTAAATAAAATTGTGCTGAAGTGGTTTAAACTATGAGTCATGTTTTCATATAAAAAACTCAGCATATATAAAAGGCGTTAGTACCCTATTTCTATTTCCTTTATTTTCAGCATATATTCACTGCAAGGATAGATATTCACTTAATGTGTAGATTTGACCAATTCAAAAATCTCAGTTTTAAAGTACATCAACTCTTCGGCATCAGGCCAAAATCTGGCTCTAGGCTTAATTGTGTTTATAACCAAACAGGCATACATTAACATAGCCCAAAGAAATCCAGCATTATTTTAAGGTAATGTCCTGTGCTCTAAACAGAGACCTCTGCAGAGATAATTCCAAATGGAACTAATCTGCACTGGCAGGGACGTGTATAGGGCTGAGCTTTTCTGGTCTTAAAAAAATGGTTATACTCCTGATGCTTGATCTTTGCTATGGAATGTTTTTCAATAGCTGTGGCTAAAGAGGGCATGTGAAGACACACTGTATACTAGTTTAAAAGGGACAAATTCAGGGTGAATAGTTTCTGCCCTATGCTTCTTCTCCTGTTCACAGCGTTTTGTGAATCCTTAGAGTATCAACTCAAGCTAGCATCTGGCCCAACATGTTTATTACACATTTTAAGGAAAAAACTTATTTACCTGTATAGGACTGATCCCTGTGGGACCCCATTGGAAACACACTTGTTTGATGATTCCGTATTTACAATTATATTTTGAGACCTATCACTTAGCCAGCTTTTAATCCATTTAATGTGTGCCATGTTAACTTTATATCATTCCAGTTTTTCAATCAAAATATCATGCGGTACCAAGCCAAATGTCTTACAGAGGTCTAAGTATAGTAGGGCAACATTATTCCTTTTATCAACCAAACTTATGATCTCATCAGAAAATGGTAACACATTAATATGACAAGATCTATTTTCCATAAACCCATGTTGATTGGCCCTTATTACCCTTCTTTAATTCTTTATAAAATGGGTCTCCTATCAGCCGTTCCATTATCTTTGCTGGGATCAATGTCAGGCTGACAAGCTTATAATTACCCGGGTCATCCTGGCACAACATTAGCTTTCTTCCAGTAAACTGGAACTTCTCCAGTTCTCCAAGACTTATTGAAAAAAAATCAACATTTACAGTCCAGCAAGCTGCTCAGCAGCTCTTTTAAAACTCCCGAATGCAAGTTATCTGGATCTGCTGATTTAAAAATGGCTAATATTACTACCTTCTGTTTAACATCCTCCAGAGATACTAGTGGAATGCAAAGAGTGTTATCACCACCATATGATGAGACTCATCTGTTTTTTCTCCAAATGCAGCACAAAAATATTCATTGAACTTCACTGCCTTTTCTGCATTATCATTGATAATGCTACAAATTTCCATCTAGTAATGGACCAATACCATTGTCAGTCTCTTTTTTATTCCTAATATATTAAAAATGTATTGTCTTTCTCTCTGCTGGCCATAGATTTCTCCTCATTTCCCTTCGCTTCCCTTATCCATTTTCTACAATTCCTAGCTTCTGATTCATTACTATTAACTTCCCCTTTCTTCCATCTGTGTGTGTGTGTGTGTGTGTGTGTGTGTGGTGCTTCAGTAGGGCCAATTTCACAAAGCTGAAAACAAGTGAGCCAAGTCAGCTGGGAAGAAGCAATTATATCTACATCTACCTGGTCTACACTTTATTCTGCTTGCACATTATAAATGTGATCAACTCATGATCATTACTTGTACCTAAGCTACCATTAATTTTTAATTCTGTGATCAGTTCTTCTTTATGTTAAGACAAGTCTAACTGTGATGGCAGCAACACTGAGTTAGGAAACTCATCTCTAACGTTTAGAAATTTCAAACATGTTTCAGTACTGGAAGCACGAGACCTCCAGCATGTCACTCAAATTTAAGTAGTACCCAGCATGATCATGCTGAGCTTTTTTTCTACACATTATAGATAGGTGCATAAGAAGGTGGCCGTCCTGTTCCCTATTGTGACTGGATGGTCAGTAGCAGACATCAATTTATACCACACCTTATGATCTATCTATTAGGACATTGATCCATAAGCATTCAAGATCATTTTCTTCCAAGTTATCAGTGACTTTAAAACCGGTAATGCCATTTTTGGTAGAGTGCCAGGATACCATAGATCCACATTATAATACTTTTCGATCCACTATTATCCATCCATGCTACTTTTCTCATTGCAGTTTTATTCTGACATTAAATTGTGCATAAAACAAGATATAATTGACAGTTCAACACAAGAGAAGAGAAAGTATATCACACAAAAAAATTAAAATGGCTATTTCAGAGCTTCAACAAAAAGTCTGTCATATACATCTTATGCTATATTTACTGTGCAGCAGCAAGCTAGCTTTAGTGCAGGTTACAGTGAAGGTGATATCAACTCATTTACTATTTTTAAATACTATAATATTTTTTTCTTATATAGTGCTTTTTCTTAGTAATGTATATTTAGAATCCACCCCATGAGAATTATCCATTATTAAGGGGTTTTTTGGAGGGTGTTTTTTTTTTTTTTTTTTTTTTTTTCTTTTAAACATCCTAAGATTGTGTGTTCAAGACCTTTGTGAAAACTAGCCCGGGAATGTGCATGCTGAACACTACCGTGAGAATGCTCCAGGCCAATACTATCCAGGCTACAGAACTTTCCAAGGAAAACTGGAACAGTCCCAAGGTAGCTATGGAGGATAAAGACCACTTCAACCTGTAGCACCCCAAATATTGCTAGCTACTGTCCCCTACCTCCCAAATGCCCTGCCCCCCACTTTCTTATAGTCACATCTCTAGCAGATTGGATCTATTGCTTTCTTCTGTTACTAAGTGAACTAAGGAGAGTTCACGTATCTTCCAAAACAGTGCATGAGCACATCACCATGCTGGTGCATATGAACAGCAAGTGCCACAAATGTGTACAACTCTCCTAGTCTGCATAGGAACAACACGAAAATAAGTTTTATAAACTTTGCTAAAATATGATTTGTAAACCAATTGCATTGGCCTGCTAAACCCAGGGTTGTGCGTTCAATCCTTGAGGGGGTCATTTAGGAAACTGGGGTAAAAATCTGTCTGGGGATTGGTCCTGCTTTGAGCAGGGGGTTAGACTAGATGATCTCCTGAGGTCCCTTCCAACCCTGATATTCTATGATAACGTTAAAATTGATACTATCCCTTTAAGCCCACTTACCAACTACAAAAGTAGCCAGAGACAAACCAGAGCATTACTGTGCCACCTAGTGTTAGAATACAGATACTGTATGCATGAATGAAACAAGTGTAATAGAATTCAAAAACAAAAATTTCTCCTTACCTGCTTTGCTATTTCTCTTAAACAGGCCACTCCTCGTTCAAAGTTAGGAAATACTACAGAGCCATACTTCTGGTATTCAGGGATTGGTCGAATTTTTATTGTAACTTCTGTAACCACTCCAAGGGTTCCTTTAAAAAGGAAAATGAACATGAACATCATTTCTATGTCACAAAAATCTCTCTTGCTTTCTGACTTAACATGTATGTTTGAGTATTTTCATACTATCCCATAAGTGAGATGCCTTAAGAAAATTAAGTCAGATTTGTTAAATGTATTTTAAAGCCTAGAGTAGTATTTTTATTGTGCATCATTTCACTAGAAGCTTAATTTTTCTTTCTACATAAGCCTTCAATTAGAAGTTGACAGTTAAGGCAACGTTCTTCAAACTGTGGATCAGATTTTTTTCACAAAATGATCAAATAAGCTCAAGATGTCTAAAAACTAATAGTTTTAATACAGTATTCTGCAAAAGCTCAGCTGGTTTACTGCATTTACACCAGGCTTTGCCACTGTTTTTGACAGGCTCTAAATAGAACTGTCAAGTAAGGAAAACAGGCTGCCCTATCCAGATGTACAAGACAATGAGGTTTAAAAATAAATATTTTCCCCATTCTACTCAGTGATTTGTAGTGGGGGCAATCAGGGTTTTTTTTTTATTATTATTATTTATTATTATTATTAGAAGAAGATTGGGATTAGGAAAGATAGGCTAAGATGGTTTGAAAATCCTTTAACATTAGGACTCTAAACAAACAATTTAGGACAGAAAAGATTTCTTCAGGTAACAAGTTAACCAGTTCAAATTACTGAAGTTAACCTGAAGATCATACAAGAGATACTAGAGGTCTGGTAGACTAGTGATGACATAACTTTTCAAGTCTTTAAGCTGGTTTTGGGGAAGCCATCACAGAGTCTGACTAACTGTTAATGGGGAGCTATTCAATGTTAGAATGCCATGATAAAATGGCAATATGTTGTGCTAAAACCAACTCAAATTAGTGTTGTAAGTATGGTTTCAGTGTCTTCAAACAAATTGAAAACGTTTAAAAACATGTAAATGTATGTACATCCAATGCACTTAAGTCAGAAACTTTTGTCAGCACACGTGCTCCAGCCATCTTTGTTCCTGGAGCCAAGACCATAAAAGGGGTGTGACCATCACCTCTCTCTCCATTTTTTCACACCATCTAATACCTCAAGTAGTAGGGGAAGGTGGAATGGTCATGGAATGTATCTGCACACAATACATCACAAAGAACAAAAGTTACTATACAGGTAAGTAACAGTTTTCCCTCCTTTGAGTGATTGTGCACATATACATTCCACTGTGACTCACCAACAATTTCCTTACAGGTGATGGGACTTTTGATTATTTGAAAAGTGACTGAAGTCAAAAGCACTGCTGTACTGACTCGCTGAAGTTGGCACTGTCCCAGGAAGCTTGAGTGAAAGCAATGTGTCTGGAAAAGGTATGTACTGGCAACTGCGTTGTTCGTTTGCAAATGTCCACTATTGGTATGTTACTGATGAAATGTAATAGGACCCAGTGGGCTGTTATTCTCAGAGGATGAGAAAACTTAGCTAGATTATAGCAGAGCTTAATACACTCAAATACAGGAAAGGGGGGGTTGGCTTAGAGTGCCTGGAGCTCCAGTACCCTTCTTGCGTAAGTAATTGCTAGCAGAAATGCAGTTTTCATTATTCTTCTCATCAGATATGGACCTTGCCATGCCAATTTGCTGCAGCCTCATCAGCGACGTGCAGAGCTCTCAGACAACCATCAAATCTGGTCAGAGGGCAGTCATTAGTGATGTGAGACATTGTCTTTGGCCACAGCTGCATTTGGGATCCTCATTGGCCCCAAGGGTTGGAAGGCTGTCTGCACATTGACCCTGGTCTCTTCAAAATCCATGAATGGGGCAAATCAAAACTGGGTACATGCATGGTTGGGTCAATTATAAGAGACTGGTTTCTAATGTCAGCTGCAGATCATTCTTCACACCACATCAATCCCTCAGAGAAATCTGGGTAGGGCAAGTGGGCCCACAACAGGTGCCTTGACGACAAGCATGCTTTTGGGTAGTTGAAGAGGTCGTGTATAGTGGTAGGCTTGGGTTTGCCCTGATCTTCTCATCAATTCTGGCTGTAGCAACCAGAGGGACGTGTGGAGGAGTGATGTGGCTTAACACAGGGAACAATGTGTGTAATTGCGCCAGTTATGATGTACATGGTTGAGTGCAGTTATGTGTCAACCACTTTTACATGAGACAAATGGAGTCAGACCAGAGCACAGTATTCTGCTGCAGAGTAAGAGAGGGCTAAACCAGATGATTGGCGATTTTGAGCATTTGCTCCCTATAAAGTGGTGGCCAATTTGCCTAGAAGGTTGTTACACATCTTCACCTTAGCCACAGTTTTCCTCGGGTAGATAAGATATGTGAGAGATCTATCTAGGGTTACTCCATGTAATCAGCAAATCACATTCAGAGTGCTTTCTAGAGCTGAATCCTGAGTTGCCTGAAGACTGGCAATGCCAAACAGTAAGTTGATGGTGCCAATGTGGACTGCACTGAAGATACAGGAAGAACTGATCACGTTTTGGTGGCAGGTGGTGCAGACAATGCCGATGTAGCTGAAGCAGCTACAATTAGAATCAGACAATGTAGAGTCCAGCAAAGAGAAACAAGTCCTTTGCCGCATGAAAGGCTTGTGGCATTGATGGCACTGACAATGGAGGTAAATGTACAGCCATTGGAGATGGAACCAGATCCAATAATGCTAGGGTTGAAGATCTCTCCATTAAAGCAGTAGGCACCAGTCTCAACAACCCTGGTGGACGTGGAGTCTGAGTGGTGGTGCTTATGACCAGACCTCACAGCATTAGATGACTTTTTAAGTGCCTTTTTGTGGGATGAGGAGCACTTTCTATCAATCTCAAAACAGTTCTGAACACTGCAAGGAGGCCACAGGAGAGCAAGATTTCTCACCCAATATTGGCTTTGGAGCCTTGGCAGCTAGACATGCACTTCTCATGGAGACTTTCGGTCATGGTCAGGCTCTGAGGAGGGAGATGTTGCCATTTCGAGAAGATAAAATTTAAGACAAAACCTCTTCTATTTCTTTGTCCTAGTGGGGAACAATCTACAGCTAGAACATATGTCTCTCACCTAAACAAATTAAGCAACTTTTGTGCCTATTGGTGACAGGGATAACAGCCCAGCACATGTTAAATTGTTTAAAACCAGGGGATTTCTGCATGGCAAAAAAACCTACTAAAACAGCTCTTTAACTAAACTAGAATTGCAGTAAAGTGAACTATAACTATATACAAAGGAGAAAATCTCTTCTGAGCTGTCTAACTGAAGCTCAGAGGCAACGGGGAGCTCCAACTCTTGCTACAGGTGGTAACAACAGAGGGAGGCCATGGCTACTTCCATTTTATGCCTTCTGCTCCACATATGAAGATGGCAGAGGCCATGCACCGCCCAATGGTGCTGATGTCAAAAGTCTCTGACTTGAATACACTGGCCGCACACACTTTTATTGTGTGAAATATATATGTGCACAGTTACTTGAAGAAGAAGAGGCTTTTATCCTGCAGTTTCAACAAATTTAGTAACGAATTAGATTGCAAACTCTTCAGGACAGCAACTATGTCTCTCTCTATATTTGTACAGTGCCTAGCACAGTAGGGATATAATTCTGATTGGGGCCTTTTGGAGCAACTGCATGACAAATAATGAAGAAACTGGAAAAATGTATAGCATGCAGTGACAAGTCTATGGTATAGTAAAAAGATGGCAAGGTTAGCAAAATCCCACAAAAAGGCTAACAACTAGACTAAGTTTGAATGTTTTTGGAATTTCTCTTCACCTGATATGAGTAGCTTCTATTAACCCTGATTAGAGTTATAACAGACAAAGGGGATGATAGTGCACTTTTTATGACTTAAAAAGTAGTCAATATGAACTTACATGAAGATGGAAACAGAAGTCCTGGACTTTGGGAACTTTTAGATCATGTGTGGAATTGGAAGAAAATTTGTTTTGTTCTAAGAACTTAAACTCTTCCCTTCTCAGAAATCCAAGCAGCTACAAGGAGTTCTAAAGACTATTATTTAAACAGTCAACTCCTCTGTATAACATCTGAAAAAGATTCTCTTTCACTATAACTTATGGCAATTTTTTTCTGTGCAAAAATTTAACACCATTTGCAATAGGCATCCCTCAGGAATTTTTAATTTAAAAAGCTTTTCAGAGTTTTGGTTATCTACTGGACTAGTATGGACACCTTCGCACAGAGAAATCCTGCAGGAGTAATTAATACGTGCCAACATTATTTTTTGAAAAACAAAAACGAGAATAAATAAAAGGATACCGAACAGGAAAAGAATACACTACTGGACAATTATATTAATCTGCCCATGTGAACACTTCATTTTAAGTTAAATTTTTTTGAGTACAAATTTTTCTTGATGCATATATGTAATTCATATTACTTACTTCCACTTATGCATGAAAATGGAAATATTCAACACAGCAACCTTCCTGAACAAAGCCAACTAGAATGATTTAAATAATTATAAAGAGATACAAACCCAAAAGACAACATTTTCATATTAATAAAGAACTTTTTGAAATGTATTGCATCAATTTGGCACCATGTTTCATCTAAATGGGTAAGCCAAAATTTAACTGTGAACATTTGATTACTTCCAAGCAATTTTAAATATGAGTAGAGTCAGTTACATTTATTAAAACAACAAGAAACAATACGTCCCACATTAAGTAACATGGTAACAGCAGGTTAAAATAGAGATTTCATTACTGCATGACACAAACAAGCAAGAAGACAAGCTCAGTATTGTAATGATTAACATTTTTTTCTGATGTGTATATGGCAATGATTTGTAAACCTATTAGAATTTCCTAAAAGCTTGAGTTCAAAAATAAATTGATTATAGTTAGAGACACGAGAGCTGTTTTGAACATGCTTTTTTGTGTGTTTGTGCAACAACAATGCAGCTGTGATGAGAGCCACAAAGTATTACAGAAATAAAAGAAGATTCTTGAACTGTAGTACTACCCATTAAGTGAAAAATTATGTTTTGAATAAATAAAACCCAAAGGATTTCAAACCATTACAGAAACTGATTTAATCTCACTAATAGCATCTTGATATTACTTTTGTTTATACCTTCAGATCCCATAATGAAATGATGGATGTCAGGTCCTGTTGACATGCGAGGTACTTGACAGCTTTTTTCTATTACTCCTCTTGGGGTTACCATTTTTATATGAACCACCTGTTTAAACACATACAGTGATGAGTGTTAAATATTGAATAAATGTATAGTCACGTCATTAACATATATGGATTAATATATTCATATTAAAATTTCCATTTACCACAAAATGCAACTTAAACTTGATGTAATTATACTATACAATTTGGAAATCCTATAAATTACCCCCTAGAAATTTTGTGGAGTAACCTGCTAGCCACTAATAAATCTAATACAATTCAGTTAGTCAGTGAAAGCACAGATTCTTCTCATTGTTTTGCCAAATCAAACTCTTCTCTTCTGTCCCTTTATGCATGCCACAGTTAATCTACAATTAAACATTTTGTTGGGTTTCTCATGATATCCTAGCCTATATCTTCCCTTTGTTTGACTGCATTGGTTAGCTCTCACATATAGATACTTACTATATCACAGGAAAATAGTAGAGAGAGGAATATAACCCAATGGCTTCTCCTGAGCTCTTCATAAGACCACGAAGACAGTTTCATAACATGCATATTTACATAGTAACGTGCACTTTTATTTAAGCAGTTTGTATAACACAACAAAAACATTTTAATAATGAATTAATGGGCACTTAGATACAGCAAGCTCAGAAACAAAAATAAACTCAAAATGAAATTTATCTGAAGATTTCACTACATGCAAATAATACGTCATAATTAAATATTTGTGACACAAAGTATCAAAAAAGTGATTAAGCCACATCAGCCAACTGACTATTATTAAACATAGCACATTCACCAATGTTTTAATGACTACCAACCCAGCAGGTAGTTGGAGGACCGTCATCAAAAAAGTTAAGAGCTAATTGTTTACCATTTTTAAAGAAGTACATAATCCAAATATCAAGTAAATATACATCTGGTCCTTAACTATGTTTTATTATTTTAATGGATTAAAATGGATTTGAAAATTATTCTTCCTCCAATGATAGATGGTTTCACATGCCAAAGTTTAACTTGATGCAAATTAAGGTCTAGTGATACCTAACTATCTGGCATAACCCTTCCCTGCACACATAAGTTATATAATAGAAGGGCGCCTCAGTTACCAGGGCACAATCAGATGTCACATGTTGATATGGTTTTTAAGGTCAGGCTTGACAAAGCCCTGGCTGGGATGATTTAGTTGGGAATTGGTCCTGCTTTGAGCAGGGGGTTGGACTAGATGACATCCTGAGGTCCCTTCCAACCCTGATATTTTATGATTCTATGATAAAAATTCATCTTTGTTCGGATACCCTAAATGTTTCAGTCCTTTAAGGCACTACTAGACAATTTTTTTTTGGCAGCTACAGATGTTGTAAGCCATCAAAATACTTAACTTCATCTTGTACAAAACCTTTTTCCACCTCCACTCTCCCTGCCTCCATGCCCACCAAAATCCCAGTTAGTTACATATTGGTCCATTGGTATGAAAGATATTCTGTTCTAAAAGTGATTTAGAAAAAAATAGGGCAAGGACTCTGGCCAGCTGAGATTTTGACAGGAACATATCCTTCCTTTAAAAAACAAAAACCCCCCACCACACCCACACCCACCAAGAAAGCTGTTTTAGTTTTGCATCACTTAATACAGCAAAAGTGACAAAGAAATTCAATGAAGCTTCAAAACAGAAGGTGACAATACTCATATAAAGAGTTTAGTCTGCCTAATTTCCCACACACACCCCCTATATATAGCGGAGAGAGAGTGGGAGATGCAGAGTCATTTTTAAATTACCTTTATATTAAGGCTGCTTCAAATTTGGAATAAGGCACTTCCCTTTAGTAAGCAATGAGGCTATAGTAGGATTCTGGTGTCACTACTGTAAATGTTTACTAACATTTTATTTGAGAAAATTTACAGTAATGATGCCAGAATCGTATTACAGTTCCATTGTTTGCTAAAAGGGAGCGCTTTATTCCAAATTTGAAGCAGCCTTAATATAAAGGTAATTTAAAAGAACTGTTATACACCCCCCCACTTTCTCTGTCCCAATTATGAATAATTTACAGAGGCCAGAATCGAATGTTTCAAATTGGAGGGGAAATACTAGATAAAAAGAAATATTTATAAAAAAATTACCAAATCTTCAATGTTTCCATAGATGTTCTTTTTCATGCCTGATGCGCGTGTGGCCACCCATCCTCCAAGGGAGCTGAATTCCATAGAATCTGGTTCATGGCCTGTACAGTAACCACTCTCACCAAGCTAAACATAGAAAGCAATATTCCACTGATGTAAGATAGCCTGCTTTTGCTTAGTAATCAACATATTAATTTTTAAAAACATTTTAGATTTAAAAAACTTGCTAATGATAGGAAGGAAAAAATAAGTATCTTGAACCAATATTATTCAGGTACAAAGAGTCAACTCTCTTGAGATTTAAGTATAAATCTGATACAATGAAGTGGTTCTGTTTCTACTGTGCATACGCTAAGCAGTATATCATACTATGAGGCCAGTTTTCTCATCATACCCCCCCACCCACATTTTAAAACAAAGATCGCTATTGTTTGCAAAGATGTGATTCAAATACATGTGGAGAAAGATAACTAAGTAACTTCCAACTTCACTTAAACATTTTCAATAAATAAAGCACTTAATCTTTTGTTCTTTCTATCCTAATGTGATGTGCAGTAGAAGTCTGCAGAAATTCTGAGCAAATTGCTTGTATTTAATTCTCTCAAGAAGGAATGTGTTTTAATGCACAGCCATCTGGTTGGGCTTCCTGTATGCAATACCAATGACAAATTTGTAATGCAGATCATGCATTCCTGTACATTAAATAGTTACTTGTTTCTCATTTTTCTATATTAGCTTGGCTCTGCCATCTGTACAACACGTGAGTGGGATTGAATCCCCTTAAAAATGCAACACCAAGGCTATCCCCCTGAAATAATATAAAAAGCCAAGCAATCCTGTGTTGAATAGTACAGACTCCAACTACATTTACTATACTGGAGATCATCTATTTGTGTTGACCAATTTGATAATGATCCAGTTAAATGTTTGCCATTTTCAAGTACGCTATCTAGGCGAGGGACAGCAGCTATATTTGGACACACACACACACACACACACACACACGTGCGTGCATGCGCACATACTTGTGTGCATGCACACTATTATGTCTGAAAACACTTTAAAAACATTAAGGTCGCAAAGTTAACCACTCAAAAGTGGCACTCAATGCCAGAATTTAGGTTGCCTGCACAACCTTAATTCAACCTCCCCTTGTGTGTATACTTCACTTTAGTCTTTAATTGCATGAACACACTATTTCCCGCCCCCCCACAGGATTGCTGTCTCAGTGCACAGCTGTTTGGACAGTGCTCAGTGAATGAGCAGCTATTCAATGGATGATATGGGAACTGATGCAGAGAGAGATTAGGGTCAACACTTTACACTAATTTTGGGTGCCCTATTTGAGATGCCAATGGCCTGATTTTTCAGAGAAATTAGCATTTTATAGCACATCATTTGTTCAGAGCACAGCTTTCAATGACTTTAGATGCAGTGCTGAGCAATGCAGTGCAAGCCAGAACCTGTGTCAAGTTGGGAACTCCCAGAAAATGAGGAACACACTATTAGTGGCCATCTGTGAAAAGTTTGGTTTAAGTGACTTGAGTACCATCACACAGGAACTCTGTGGCATTCAACTATCTTAACCACAGGATCACCCTCTCTCTTCCTCAAATCCCCCGCCTCATTTCACTACATACACCTCTACCCCGATATAACGCTGTCCTTGGGAGCCAAAAAAATCTTACCGCGTTATAGGTGAAACCACGTTATATCGAACTTGATTTGATCCACCGGAGTGCGCAGCCCCGCCCCCCCGGAGCACTGCTTTATCGCATTATATCCGAATTCGTGTTATATCGGGTCATGTTATATCGGGGTAGAGGTGTACTTTCCAACTACTCCAGCAAATAAGGCAGGGGTCCTTCAGACAAACAGCTTCATCAACTGTACAACTAAATAAGGCAGAAGTCTTGGGAAAAATGTGATAATGTAATTAAAGACCATCATAATGAATATACATGGAGTGGGTGGGGGAAGGGGCAAGTTAAGGTCACAAAGGCAACCTTAATTCTGGTATTTCCTAACTTTTGTTTACTTGAGTTTGCAATCTCAAAGTTTTTTAAATGTAGTTTCTTGCATGTAGTCCAAGTTGTTTTTAAAAAGCATAGTGAAAAAATAAAATCTAGGTTTGTTCAACAAAGTTGGAACCTTTAAATCCATGAGCTCTGCTACTTGAGCCAACAGAGCAAGTAATAGCAGTAGTAGGTTGTCACCCTACATGAGCCAGCCACTAGAGGAAGATAAGGCATGTTTTGCCACTAGGCTTCACAGCTATTTGTACATCCCTGTGGAATTTTTTTTAATAAATATAATTTTATTTTTCTGGAATTTCATGTTATTTCATTTGATCCAGCAAAGAGTGAGGGGCGGGGGGATGGTTCCTACACCCAGGAGAGGAGGGGAGAGTGGCGTAGCAGGCCCTGGGGGGTAAGGGGATCGCAAACCAAATCCACCTCACATGCGCCCTGCAGTAGTGGCTCCTGTCCTCAGGGGGATAATAGGACCAGAGAGCGGGGTTGCAGCACCACTCAGGTTTGACCTGCCCATACCTCCATCATGAAGATAGAAAGGTGGCCGGGCCAAACCTGAGCAGTGCTGCAACTCCATGTGCCAGATCACAACATCCGGTATGGGGAGCCAGGCCCAGCACAAAGCCACAGGAGCCACTGATGAGGGGTGAATTTTTTCCCAATTAATTTTGTTTTATATTCTGCTTTTCTTTTTATTAAGTGTTTTGTATTTGCTATAAAGCCCAGGGCTCTAGCTATTGGCAGAGAGCAGAGATGCACTGAGACTCCAGAATCTTGGGTTCTATTCCAGGTTCTAAAGGGATCATAGTCTAATAGCTGGATCTTCTCCGTGACCCCTTCAGCAGGTCCTCCTCCTGATACCATCCTTCCCTCCTCCCAGTAACACCTCTCCAGGCCTGGCTCCTCATCCCCCTCTGTATTTTGTTCAAGCTGTTCCAATCCTCCTCCTCTTCACCGGGTGCTAGCCGGGGGCACCTTAAGCACACAGGAAAGTCTCCCTGCACTCAGCTCCAGTGCCACATGGCTCCTGGGTACCTGGAGGTGCAACCGTAGGTAGTCCTGCTGAGCCCATGCAGTCCTGGGATTGAGCGTGCTCAGATGAAATCTTCAGCAAAAGTGGTGAAACAAACAGGTCTCTACTTAGTACGTGCAAACTGTCATTCAGCAATTTGTAACTTGGTCAAGTTTACCCAACTCTGATGCAAGGAAAAAACCCCTCACCAAATTTCAACTTCTTGCTCCAAAGCATGGAGGCTACACAGCTTCTCAATAAAATGGTTAAGAATTTTTTTTAAATGGGCACAACAATGCCTTTTTCCCTAATCCGTTCTGCGAAACAGATGAATCCTTTTTGCTGACATTTTCCAGAATAATTAAATTTCAGCCCAAACAGTTAAAAGTTTGGCAGAGTAATAAGCAATTGAGAACAGGGTCTTGTAATAGAGAGTGTTAGGCAAGTTAATATTTTAGGAAATCTATCTGCCTTGCTCATTAACAGATCTGCTACAAACCACAAGTCATTTTAATGGATTATATAAGTTATTTTAAAAAAACCACACCGATAAATTCACATCTTTCCATTCCAGCATTTGAGTTTCAATATTTTGGTAGTTTCAATACAGGTCTGACTTGGCACACAGGTTTTCAGCTCCATTCAGGTTTCTTCTGCCCTTATCTAGATAAGCATTGCCACATCTGTCAGTCTGTTCGTTTTGGGTCTAAAGATTTTAGCTCTAGACTAAAAATAATTCATTTATGAATTAAGTTTGAAAAGTAGTTTCCTTTAAGAATGAAGCCATTCTAATATTTAAAATTGTTATTCTGCAATGGCAGCTATTTAAACCATGCAACATTATGAATGCAAGTTGTCATACTTTAACAAAAAAAAAGTAGCTATCTTCCAACTCCTCAAATAAAATCACTACCATGAAAAATTGCATTATTAGACTCCAAAAGGTATCTAACTTTCTCTTTTTATAAAGCCAATAGGTAGCACTATTTCTAATACTTTTGCATAGAACTTTCAGGCAATTATGTATACAATCAAAAAAGGAAATTAAACTCAAAATTCTGATATTGTGGGTTTGGTGTACCCACTGCCACCCTTTGGGTGCACATCTGTGTATCAGCCTCATCTATCCCGATCATTTTGGAATATGCAGACCCTGTGGAAATTTTTCAAATGTGTTTAAGTTACTAAACATGTTAGAAAAATGTACCTCATGTCAAGTGTGGAGTGTGGATCTGTACTGAAACTCTATTTAAAAGAACTCCAGTTCTCAGGTGAGTAACTCTGCTCCTTCGAATACTGTCAGTACAGATCTGCACTCTTGGGAGATTCACATGTAGGTGTGGACTGAGCTGCAGGCAGAGCATTTCCATAAACTGGAACATTCTGAAGGCATGCCTTGGATCTAGCCAAGTGTGCTATGTTTCTTTCCAGGATTGTGTGGACAAGCATTGGGAGGAAACAGCATGGCCCTCTACCCGCCATATAACAATGAATAATCCAGGGGATTTATGGAATGTTTTGTCCTATTACGGCCCACTTCAGCATCAAGCTTGTGTAACCTGTCTTCCCTGGCAGCCAATGCATCTTTAAGGAAGACTATTAACTAGATAATCTGATTCAGACAAAAGTCAGTGGCCACACTAGGGATTAATTTGGTGTCAGGTTGTACAGAACCAAGGTATACTTAAAGAGGACTGTATAAGAAAGGTCAGCAAAGAAAGGATGGAGCTTGCTGGCTCTCCTAACTGAAGTTATTGTTTCAAGGAACAGTCTACAGAGACAGGTCACAGAACAGTTTCCTAATGACCCAAGACCCCCATCATTAGCAAATCTCACCTGCTCTGCACCTCCAATCTCTCCATCTGTCCCCTTGCCCCATTCCCTCTCAAGAGCCTCTTTCACTCTTTTTCTGTCTCTGCTGTGGCTTCTTCCTTTCAAACTACAAGCAAGATCTAGTAGCTATATCCTGAGGAAGGCCCTTGATTCCATCTTCAACTATTGTCCCACATATCTTTTTATTCACTTTAAAATAATCAAACAGGCCATTTACAACTTCCAAGTTTCCCCTCCTCTAACTCAGT